TTCGTAGGCTACCTTTACTCAAAGTGCCAAGCTGGGAAGACATCCCTAATTTCCCCGCACCTACCCTCACTTTCCGCTACAAAATGGGTGTGTGTTCAATTTGTTTGACGGCGACGCGGACTTTAGGGCCTCACGATTGGCCCAGAAGCCGGGATTCTGGATTGAAGAGCATCAAAACACTGCCCAAGTATTGCACTGGCGAGGGGTCAACATGCTGGGTTTGCGCAAAGTTCGCAGCGTGGCTAGAGATCGAGGATGCCAAGGCCTTCGCAGAATGGCACACCAAGAGCCTCGTTGTCGAATACGTGGGCTGGGGACGTGTGGGAGTTGAGGGCATGACGCAAGGAGAAGGACTACCTCCATTCCTTATGAGAATAATCCCTCCTGGCCATGGTCGGGAAGGTGGGTGTCCCATCGAGCTCAATTTCATTTCCTATCCGGGTAAGAGACGTCTTCTGCTTGCGTGCCTCCACGTCCGAGTCGATGACGCACGGCAGAAATTAGACTAATACGCTCGAAGAACCTGCAACTACGACGTCTGCGCGTGCCAGCAATTCTGTAGCGGATCTGGAAGTCCTCAGAAAGTGGTTTCACATGTGTTCGACCAGTCACCAGCGCTGCAGACAAGGCAGCAAAGGCTGGTATCCCACGCGGTTGTTGCATCTTGGCTCGAGGGCCAGCGAAGTTAGACTCATTATCACTGCAGAGAACCCGCCTCAAGGACCCTACATGACGCTCAGTCATCGCTGGTGCAAAAAGAGATACACCAAGCTGGAATCGTCCACGATGGCACAGTTACGGCGAGGAATTGACGTTGTGCGACTGCCGCAAGTTTTTCAGGATGCAATGAGGATTACTCGTCATCTTGGCGTCAAATACCTGTGGATTGATTCGTTATGCATAAAACAAGATCAGGACGACCTTACGGATTGGGCCATAGAATCCAAAATGATGGGACAGGTCTACACTTGCGCTTCCATGAACATTTCGGCGACCTGGGCGACGCAAGAGGACGATGATCTGCTCGGAAACAGCTGCTGGGCCAACAAAATACCTGCCCAATTAGATCTGGATATCGGTGGTCAGACACGCAAGTATTTCGTGGTCGACGGTGGTCTTTGGGACGAGGAGGTCGAAGAAGGTCCTCTCAACGAAAGGGGCTGGGTGTTTCAGGAGCGCTACTTGGCCAGACGGGTGGCGCACTTCGGCCAAGCCCAAATGGCATGGGAATGCCGAGAATGGAGAGCTTTGGAAATGTATCCCGAAGGATTACCCGCATGGCTAGGTGTGCCCTGCATGAAACGCGAATACGATATAACCCCGCCACAGACATCTTCATCACCATCCGCCGAACCTGAATCTGTGAGATTTGCCAAAGTTTGGCAGCGCATTCTAACAGACTATTGTGGATGTGATTTCACCGTCGCAGGTGATAAGCTCATGGCCCTTGAAGGGATAGCGGGGCGTATATTGGCCTCTAGACCAGCCGATGCCTACTTTGCCGGGATGTGGAAGAGCACTGCTTTGTACGATCTCGCCTGGCACCGGGATGATGATAACCGTGCAGAATTTCCCATCTCTGAGACGCGCTGGCGCTCTCCCAGTTGGTCCTGGGCCACTGTTGATGGAGCGATAGACTTTCCGCTGGACTGTAACCTCTTCCCTGAAGTACGCGCAGACTATGCCGAGGTGAAGAGCTTGCGCGGCCACACTGCAGCGCTGGGCACCAAGGTGAAATACGATGGAACACTGGAGATCGAGGGCTCTTGCCTTCCGCTCACACTCAAATGGTCGGAGGAGAAGGAGATAATCGGCTTTTCTATCTTGTCGCATCAGTTTTCGACAAAGAATAATCCCCTAAAATCCCATCTCTACTTTGAAATGCCCGACGAGCAGGTTTATGCCTTGTCTTGTTCAGGGAAATTGCAATTCATGCCGCTCTTCGCTATGACTCGCAATCTTTACGGTATCATTCTCCAGGCGGTGCGGGGGCGCGGCAAACATGAGCGGATAGGTGCGGTCGACATCTTGCTCATGGCCCGGACAGATCATATGCCAGATTGGCAAGGATCTAAGGATACATTGCGAAGCAGAGATCCTCCTCAGTTGGCCCAGAATCTGGAGCACCTAGGACATGATCGGGAGCTCTTTCAGAGGCTACCAGAGATGTGGAGTAAGGCTGGTCTAAAGTTTGTACGATTTCTTTCGACGGCGAAGCCAGCAGTTCGCCATATCTATATTTCGTAACAATGGCTAGAAAAAAAAAAAAGAAAGCTAGCCGGGTGTGGTCGGCAACTACAGCCAGGGTAGCCCAAAACAGATAACTCCCTCACTCACCCTACTCACCCCCCACCCCTGCCCAGGTGGGATCAGGAGCTGCTCAGTTATGGGAATTCCTCAAAGCCAGAATGGGCGCCCGACCCCTCCTTTACACACTCGTCGATTGCACCAATTACCAAGTAGGTTTTCGAGAGATCGCTGTCTCGCGCAATGTCGTAGAAGAGTCCCGACAGAGCCAGAAAGTTGCTGAGGTGGTCGAAGTGCTCTATTTCCGTCGGATCGCGCAGGCTTGTCAAGTGAAGGTTCAGTGAGAGTTGCTCAAGGAGTAGCAGGCATATGGGACTCTTGAGAGCAGATGCAGCTGAACACGATCCGGGCCGGTTAGCGCTACAGAAGCAGTACGAAAGACGTGGCGAGTCCGGAATCGTTTGCGCCTGTGTCGAGAGATTCTGCACAATCGTTGTCAACAGTGCGGACTTGCCACTCCCCGGGCTGCCCATGATCCAGAGCATTCTGGCGTCCTTGTTGCCCCAGCCGCAAAGGACCTTATACTGATCGGTCGAAACAAGCCACCGGTAGTTGTCGTTGTCAGAATCGGCCTGACTGTCTAGAATGGTGAGCCTGTGGTCGATACCGTGCAAGTCGGTAAACACTTGACTCTCTCGATGGCTGGGATCCGTCTCGTCGGCGAAGTTGGCTGAAGATTCTCTATCGCGCATTGCCGACCCTACCAGCTGGTTAAGTTGCTACTTGAGGCCGAGGCCGATCGATGCAGCCAAGGCGTGTTCGCTGTCAACCACGAAGAGATCGGAGTTCGGCAGGCTCGGCCAGTCCCGAGTGAGATCGGCCAACTAGCTACCACTATGACGTCAGGTAACGGTGACAAAAAAAGATAGGACGGCTTCATAGAGGCTAACAAGGTGCCTTCGGAGGAAGGCAAGATCCTCCTCCTTGGACTGAGATGTCTTGCCTCTGAGGCGATGCGAGCTGCGACGCAACAAGCACGACTTGCGGCGTCTGCTTCATCTTCTCAGTAAGCAAAGTTTTCAACGAAATTGGCTGTTGATCCTCCAAATCAGCTTATACATCGGCTTCGTGTTCCGCGGCCGTCGTCAGGTCCCTCGACCATGTCTTCATGACCAGGCTCATTTGCTGGCGCCTTGCTGATGGATCAGCTTGGTTGATAATATTGGCGTCCGATTCGTATGTCCGAGGACCCTACGGGTATGGCAGGACGGCCTAGACATCTACCCCGAGTCGGAGAGAGAGCGTGAGCAACCTCCACGCCGGTTGTCGCCGCCGCCTCTGAAGTGGGATTTGACACTTAACGCATGGGGTCTCCTCCCTTCTTGGAATCTGGATGTATGAGCTTCTCGTCACGGGATCCGGACGTCGAGGCCGCCGGCGCTTCGGTGCCTGAGGTTGTAGCCGACTCTCTCGGCTTGCGCCTGTCACGCAGAGTCGGCAGACTATTGCTCGGGCTCGGGTCACCATGGTAGGGGTCTGTTCTCTTCAAATACCGCTTCAACTTTAATACGAGTGTTTCCATGGTGGCAGTTGAGCAGTTGCCACGATGCTTCACAAGGACAAAAGAGTCGCATCACGAGCATATGCACACAGGTGGCCGTGAAGCCCTGATAAGAAGCAGGCCATGGGAAGACACATGTCGGTCTCCCTGAGGGCAGCCCACCCCCGCACCAATCAACCGCTTGCACGCTAGGACGGGTAACCTACCTCCCCTGAGGATGACACTATTATAGTGGGCAATGGGCAACTTTGAGCAGCCCATGGAGGGGTTCCGTGGGTTACCCTGTTCTTGGCTACCCCATTTGTCCGGTTATATTGGATAACGCGCAAGTGATGGGCCGCTATTCCGAGGTCTAGAAAGAAAAGGCAAGGCTATTAATCACTGTGATATTCCTCGCGAAAAGCTGGTATTCTTGCAAATGCACCTTTGCCGTCGGGGAAAACCCGCCGTATGTCTAACGATTTAGACTTGTATTCGCTTTCTCGTAGTTAGCTTGAGGAATAACAATCCATCTTTCACTCGGATTTTAATAGATCGAAGGACTATCAAAACCAGTTCGACTTTTCACGCAGTGCAATCCTCAATCGCGTCGGAGCCTTCGCGACTTAGGATTACTTATATAAATTGGTTCCGTCACAGATTCGATAGATAGGAACCGATCGATGAGAGCTTGGAAGCTCTCTAAGACCCTGCTCAATCAGGCTTGGATGGTCCATTATATCGGCACGAGCAGCATGCGGGCAGCCTAGATAGGTAATATTTAGATTGCGCTTTACGCTGAAAAAACACAGCCGGACTAAATTTGAGAGCATGTAAGGCCTGTACGGTCTCCTTTATCGCGAGGAGCTCATCGAGAATCATGACTCAGGGCTAAGACTGGACTGGAGAACCGGAGTGGAAAGTCGCGAAGTAGAAATGAAGAGTCTTCAATTGTTAGACGTATTAGTTGACATCTCCTCTATCTACACTGGCAGTTATCGCTAGTATCAAAGGGAGCTCGAAAGCTTGATAATGAAGAGAGATTGTTGCTGCCATTGGAGCACAGGACGGTAGAAAATAACAGTCTGAAGAGGTCGATTTGCTTCTGCCAACCGATTGGTCATGCTTCTCCGTATTGCATACTTATCAATCCTGTACCGCACCCTCCACCTACGAGGAGCGATATGCAATTCGAGAGTCGCCAAAGCCGTATTCAGTAGGCATAGAGAATGAGGAACGCCACCATCAGGGCGAACAACCCTGTAGCTTCGGAGAGGGCAAAGCCCAAAATAGCATAAGTGAAGAGTTGGCCTGCGATATATGACCCGTCAGCTTGTCGCATTCTAGTAACCAGGGTTACAAACACCATGGCCTGACAGCCTTTTCTTACCTCGCACGGCAGGGTTCCTAGCAGTGCCAGTGATGAGCGCGGCGTAAACCTTGCCAATGCCGACACCGGCGCCAGCCATGCCAATGGTGGCAAAGCCAGCGCCGTGCAGCTTTGCAGCCGTTACGATGGCGCCTGTCATGGACTCTACGACGACGGTGCGGAACTGCGTAACGCCACTCCTGGTCACAGTGGGCGGGAGGGCAGAGCGGGAGCTGTTAAGAAGAAGGGCGTGTCGGACCGGTGGGTAGCGCGGAGAGGAGATGAGGAAGTGCGGAAAGCGAGCTGAAGTCGGATGAATAACAACCTCACAAAAAAGGGGTAGGGCAGGCGTCCGACAATTACATACTCTGCGACGCCATCGACGATATCAAACGGTAATGTTGCTTCAGGCCATTGCGGGCGGCTACGCCAGTTAACCTACTTGATGCGAGCATTTCGTACGGGCGATTGATACTTGATGAGCGGGATGGATGGGCAAAAGATGTGACTGTTGGTGCATGGACTTGAAGACAGATAGAGAGAAGACAAAAAGACGCAAAGATGGAGGGTGAGATCAAAGATCCGAGAAATACGAGGAGGATCAACTGCGAACAATAACAACTTATGTAAGTTACTTCGTACATCCAAGGTCATCTTCGATGGTCGCCAACTATCCAGGCTAATATCCCGATCCAATGACACACAACGTCTGGGACAGTCAGCAGTAGCGTCAGCAGCCGTGGATGGTGACATTAAATCGATGTATCTATCACTAGCCCTACCAGGAATCCGAGACATGCGAACACTGCTTCGGGTGATACAGATTGGCTGGTCAGCGCGGGGTAGCCAGGCAGCATCGTCAACAGTTGAGCCAAGCTTTGCTCACGGTCGGATCTAGCCTCAGCTTCACCCAGCTACCTAACAATGGGCAGTCTAACAATTCGTGGAGAACTCGTTGCGATTTCCATATTGGGGAGGGTCAAATAGATAATTGGATCTTAACGGCCTTAGAGTTACGGGCTTAAGACCCACGCGGCAAAGTAGCCAGAAGACCTTGATGTCGATTTAACCTCACGTGCGCTAGCCAAGTCGAGTTCGACCAAGAGGGAACTTCGAGAATGAAAACGTGTACAGGAGAATGATGACCACGGTAAGAGATGCCTAGAATTGAGTAGCCAGAAAATCTGCTGCGTTGTTGCTCTGTCAATTCAAACTCATTTGGGAAACCCCTATGAAGTACCAGGTGAATACCGAGCCGGGATGCTTCAAGAAGTATTCAGGGGAATGTACCCTAGGAGTTTCGACCAAGAAATGGGACTGGATGCCTAAAATTCCAGGCCTAGGTATTTTCGCATTGCCTGTCAGAAAACCAGCATGAATCGCATCAGATCGCCTCTCTCATCACCATTTGCACCATTTCGGTTATCTCATCGTCATCACAGTACCAAGTCTATATAAATGGCCTTCTCCGCACATAAAAATAATGAGCAGATGGTGGAACGTTTCGAACCTGCGGAGAGTGTTCAGGAGAAAGCTGAGAAACTCGCGGATCTGATTAAGAGAAGTCAACATTTCATCGCATTCACGGGGGCGGGCGTTTCAACTTCCGCAGGTATTTCGTAGCTACCTATTCCTTATATTCTCACCGTTGATCGTCGATAATAGGTATACCCGATTTTCGCGGCCCACAGGGAGTATGGACTCTCATAGCACAGGGAAAATCACCCTCGGCGAGTGCCATCGATATGCTTCAGGCTCTCCCCACACCTACGCACATGGCTCTCGTTGAGCTCCAGAATAGAGGGATTTTGAAATACCTCGTCAGTCAGAACACGGATGGCCTGCATAGAAAGAGTGGGATCCTGCCAGTAGGTTCATCACGCGATGGACACGCCCAATTGTCGTGCCGTCGGCTCAAGTCTAATTTGATAGGACAAAATATCGGAACTCCACGGCAATGCTAATCGTGAGTACTGCTCACGGTGTGGTAAAGAGTATATCCGAGGTATATCACTTGTTCTCTCTGGGGCTTGCTCACATTCCCACCTTCCCAATCCTATCGGCTGACAGGATCGTACTAGACTTCCGGGCCATTGCTTCACATGGGACTTGCCTGAGGGATCACAGAACTGGTCGCAAATGTACTCGATGTCGCGGCGACTTATTAGACAGCATTATCCATTTTGGAGAGAACCTTCCTGAGGATGCTCTTCAGCGAGCCTTCGATCATGCTTACCAGGCCGATCTATGCCTCAGCTTGGGCTCTTCCCTTACCGTCACCCCGGCTGCCACGATTCCTCAGATTGTCGGAAAAAAGGGAGATGCTGTGCTGTCCATTTGCAATCTCCAAAACACACCGATGGACCAATTCTCCGATATCCGTGTCTATTCAACCACTGATGATCTATTGACCCGTGTGATGGCGACCTTAGCCATTCCAATCCCTCCTTTCATCCTCTACCGGTGGCTGAAGGTTACTCGTGCATCTCAGGAGTTAATTGTCGAAGGGGTGGATGTGGATGGCACACCCACATCGTTTCTCCGCTCGGTTCTATTTAATGGTTCTACTTTCGCTCGCGCCGAACCTTTTGCTTGCACGCTGCACCGGCAGTCCCAGTCAGGCTTGGAAGTGAAGCTGGAGCTAGAGTTCATGGGGCATTATGGCGAGCCGAACGTGGAAATCGTTTCGCGATACGAGGAGAATGGGGACTTTGAGAGGGTGTACCGACTTGCGTATAATCCAGCCCTTGGAGAGTGGCAGACATCTATAAGTGGGCCTACTGAATAACAAGTGCTAGGGATCTTCGGGAGGGAATACCTTTCAATTGTCATTATTTGCCACATTCACTCAGGATCCAGTCCTTTTCAGCCGAGCCCCTACGACCGCCCTTCTTACTTTCCGCCTTCCACCGCCGGGAAGGAAGCCAGTATATTTCTCCTACTTGACACTTCTCCTGGTAGGTACCGGCGGCCTTCGTTGGTCATCGAACAACCGCGCCATAAGCGCCGGTCTTAACTGCTCCACTTCCCAGCCTATTGAATCCAGTAGTAAAAGATTTCTGTGGTATATTTATCTGGGCAATGGTAGCACATTCCTACTTATATATCCTCCGCGCTAGAGGCCCGGCCTGGCCTACCTTGAAATGAACCAGTCTGTGAGACTCATATTGACAACTTTAGCTGAGTGTACATGTTGCTATATTACAAAGCAAAAAACGATACTTATCGCCCCGATGGTGACTTCCCCTGCTGTTGACGGAGACGCGTAATATTTTTTAGGTAGCCGACGGGAAATCATTAATATTAATAATATCATTAATAGAGGAGGAGAGATCCTCCAGGTTCCGACTGCACTCCCCTGTTTTGCGTAGAATATCGTCCAGGTCGTCGACACGATGAACAAGGCAGTTCCGTTTAAGAGGCCAACTGGTTCTCACCTGTTGTCTATGGACCCAGTGGAAAATCAATACTTCTCCAGCGGTAAATACAATACCAATGACGTTCCGCAATGGAGGCCGAGGAAGACCTACCATACAGGCTTCCGAAAATGTCAGTGGGGAAAACGGTTCTACTGTCGGTGGCAGGCTTAGAAACTCCGAATATTTTCGTTGGAGCGCCGGCCGTTTTAACATTAAACTGCGCATCGTCGTTCGATACGATCATCCTCCGGATGCAGGATTAGAAAAAAAAAAAACATTCGAGGAAGGGTATTTCATCAGTTTCGACGGTCGCCCATTTGCTGCTGTAAGCCTTTCTCATTCTTGCCACATGCCCATACATGATATTTTGGGCATGGCACTATCCCCAGTCACTCGGCATGGCATGGTTATTGGATAGGCAGAATGTGGACACGCATGTACGCATCATGACCCTGAAGTTTGGTGCCAGCCCAGAATTGTATTTCGTTAACAATGCGAGAGATACGAGGGCGATCTCCGGACCACTCGTTAGCCGAGTTTGGCGCCAAGCATTAGTCGGGACTGGACCCCGGGGGTGAAACCTTCCGGAGATTCAACTCCAAGCATCCTGCTATTGATTTGGGTTTTTTCCTCCGGACCATAGCAAGTCGATTGGAATCTTCCATCATTGCCCTTTGTAAGCACTCGGGCTCTTCGATCTTCAGAGGGTCGCCAGACTGAGCACGCTGATACAATACCCGGTACCTTCGACTGTACTGGTTGAGCACTTGGAGGAAGATTGGAAGAGGGGTCTCCTTGCGGTAGTTCAGGACTTGTGGCACAAAGCGATGTTATCCGCCCAGCGGATGACGGTCTGGCCCACGGTATCGAGGATAATCGGGAAAACGGTGTCCGCGCTCCTGCAAAAAAGGATACCTGGTCGGGGAAGATTTTTCAACGTCCTGCCGTCCAGCATAACGATTTATGTATGTTCCTGCTTGCTGATGGGCAAGGTTGCTCCTCAGCCACGGTCGCATAGCATCCATAAATTCCTCCAGGCGCGCTGAATCAAACCACCGTCTAGCTGTTCTCAATTCCGTTGCGAAAGATCCTCGGAGGCCTTGAGATAATATTGCTTCAATTCTGGAGCGGCTGTTTTTGTTGACCTGGACAGCTTGGGAGCCGATGTCAAGAGAGGCAAGAATCAGGCATTCGGCCATGCGGGGAACTCCAATAGACTAACGGCGGAAAGATGGGATATCAGTGCCGGTCTAGACCAGGTTAATATTAGCAAGCTATTACCAAAGGAGATTGCCAGGGATGAAGCAGGAGGCTATACTTACAGTCGTTACCAATAATGAAGTCATTATCAACTTGTCCCCGACGTATCAAGTCGTTCCGAGGTGAAGAAACACACTCGATCGGGGAGGGGAAGCATGGTGGTGAAAGCGAATAGGAGCTTCAGCGGGGAATTCATTGTTGAGGACAAACAGGATGTCATATCCCTCGCGAATAAATGTAGACATTGGTTCCGGAATGGTTAATGGGTCAGACGGCGAGACGAGACGAGTGCCAAGGCCAGCGCTGGATTGTGGCGGGTTATAGCGAGGATAAGACCTTGGCGATGTGACATGGTTAGCCAAGTCGAGGAAGACAAGAGAAAGAATGGGCGCTGATTTCCTGTGCAGATTGAGAAATTGAGAAGAAGAAATTGCAAGACTCGAGCCTTGCTTTCGGTTAGGGATTAGGAGTTGTTGACTTTCAGTCCAGAAAGAAAGAACAGTGACGAAAGGGAGCTCCTTGTTCAGGAAAAATTCGGGTAAGCCCGCTGGACGCCCACATATTAACAATCATCGACTCGCCGTTTCCTTCCCGCACACAGAAACGGAAGGTGGAGGGGCTTCCCCGACATCGTCAAACACAGGGTCAAGAATACACAACTATTGAGCTTTTTTTGTTTTAGGCTGTAGCCTACTGATTTAGTTGCTGTTAGGATAGAACCCGGGGCTTCGTTTAAGGAGGCAATTTTGAGGCCGTCCAAGATCGATGGAGGTTCCTTCCACCCTCCCTGCCTGCTGAACTGTTGAAGAGGTGAAGTCAACTGTCGTGTCAATAACCACTCACGTGACTACCATGTGATTTCGTTTTATGTCACATGAATCCGGAGATGCTTTCTCTCAGGTTCAAAAAGCAAAATTTGGTCGGCTGTGAAATCTATCTCCCAAAGTAGTCCGGAAGCGGCGGAAGGCAAGAAACTGCACAAGCACTGCCCTTTCCTCTTGCCCAATGCCCATCAACATATGCTGCAGGATTTCAACCTAACTAACAAGTAGTGCAAGATGGGGCGGATAGCGGTAGGCTGGCGGGCAACACACCAATGGATAAATATTGTGACTATCTTTCGCCGGACGCTTCTGGATAGACCTGTAACTCACATCACCCCCTTCTCGTCAGACCTCTTTTCGAAACCAAGTGTGCAATATTTGCAATAGGTACCCGATCCATAATCTCAAAGATGGCCAGAGTCGCGCCCAATTCCCTCTTGATCCAGTTCCTTAGCTCAACGGCCATGAGCGAGTCGACACCATAGCTAGAAAGTGGCTTGCTCGGCTCCACATCACCTGGTGAGATGGCCATAGCCCGCGCTAATTTTGCCGCCAAGGCACGAACCACGGCCTGTGAGCGTTCTCCGGAATCGGTGGACGTGCGGAAAAGGGCCGTTGCCGTGGGCGAGTTGTCGTAAACACTCGTGCCCTGGGGTGGCGTCCCCGAACCACCAACGATGTACGAGAAGGGAGCGAACAATGGTCGGTCTAGCAGGGCCGGGACAGGTTTCCCTTCGACAAGGGCGTCGGCAGGCGTTCGCAGCCCGAATAGGACTTGGGACTGGGCTTGAGGTGTCGCCAACCCCGAGCTAGTCGGATCGCAGCACACCGTCAGCAGGGCGAGCAGATCAGTGTCCTCTATAGGCTGCATGTTGTCGGCTGCCTGGCGCTGGCGCTGATATGCGCCCGTCTCGGCGATGATGCCGATGTTGCGCATCCACCCGATATCGAGCGAGAGACACTTTTGACCGTGGGCAACGCGGTGGTGGGCCAGCGCGTCCTGAAACGAACAGCCGCCTGCATAGTTAGAACTAGCCATCTGGCCGGCAACTCCAGCGAGAGATGCGAGAAGGATGAAAAAGTCGAGGTTTTGGGGTAGCAGGCGGTTTAGATTCTTCGACGTCCGTACTTTGGAATGCAATGTGAGATTCCACTGAGTATATGTCATGTTGCCCTGGAAAATGGCGTCTTGGAGGTCCATGGCCGCGTTTATACAGCCCTTTATAGGCGGCATTGTGCATGCGCACTCGTTCAACACATCGGAAAGGCTTGTTTCTGACGACGCGTCACATCTGAAGGACATGATTTTGACGCCACGAGCTGTTAGGCCGTCTATCATGTCGGTGGCAGCTTTGGACGTAGCGCCCGATCGGGAGAGGATGATGAGATGTTTTGCTCCGCGGTCTGCCATCCAGCTAACGATTGCACGACCTAGACCACCGGACCCTCCGACGATTAAATATGAGGAATTGTTTCCAAAGGTCCATGCCCGTCGATCCTGAACAGAGCACTACCGGGTCAAACTTTAGCAGGGCGGAAATACAGAGTGAGTCTCTGTTCTCCTCGAAGCAAACTTACCGGAACCAAGTCCCCGGGTCTGGGGGTTATCATGACGCGGCCAGAATTAATGCTCCTTTGGAGCTGCCTAAAGGAATTCTGAAGTTCAGCTGAATTGAAGATGTGCAGTTGGTTGGGGGAGTTGGATTTTCCTCCTTCCCAGCAATTTCATGGTTTCCTTCAGTAGCTTAGCGGTGACCTTCTGGCTCAATTGCGTCCAATCAACCCTCTAAAAAGGTACCGCTTCTGGCAAACATGTCCGTTGGCATCACTACATTGAGTTTTGTGTCAGCGCGGCCGATCTCGACAAAGTGTCCGCCTGGGGCCATGCATTCGAATGACGCCGACAATGCCTCTTCACCCGGAACAGAGTTGAAGATCACGTCGACGCCGTACCCCTCTGTGGCATGCATCACACCCTGGACGAACGAAGTAGCTTCAGAGAAGACATGATCTTCGGGGATTTTCAACATGTCCGTTAGGAGCTGCCTGTCTTCCAGCGATTCGGCAGTCGCGAAGACACGGGCGCCCTGGAACTTGGCAATCCACACGGCCATCTGGCCCGAGCTACTGGTAGCAGAGTGGATCAAGACCTTGTCTCCTTCCCGGAGCCGGGCAACATTGACCAGTGCATTGTAAGCTGTGATGCCTGGTATGATGATAGAGGTAGCTGTTTCGAACGACAAGGCGTCGGGTATCTTGACAATATCCGCCTCGTGTGCTCGAGCGTATGTGCACAAGGTACCCTGTGTGATCGGAAATGGCGTCCTTGAGCCCCTCCTCTCTCCGAAGTTACAGCTGAAACCCTGGGCCGACGGGCCAGCTCTGCAGCTCTCACTAGGTACCCCTGGCGCCCTAGAATCACTAAGATTCGACAGAGATACTGTCCATGAGACTGACATTGGACCGCATGACGTTGAGATTGAAACTAAGGCCTGGGGTCTTAACCAATGGGACTCTCAGTCTGTGCTGGGTCAATTGGATGTTCAACATGAAGTGAGGTTGAGGAGCGACTGCGGAGGTGTTGTGACCCGACTTGGTCGTGACTGCGATCCGTCCATTCAGCTAGGCGACCGTGTCTGTATGATCACATCCTCAATAGCCCTGCCCGTCATGATGAGGCCGTCTCGGACCATGTACTCCACCTCTTTGGATGACCGCGAGTCAAATGCAGCGAGGACGACGCTCTCAATGAACTCTGCACAGGTCGCATTGTCCGGCTCCCCTTCAATGGCAATGGTCACGATGCGGCTATCAGGTTGCTCAGCCCGGATAGACCGCATGAAGCCCTGTACGAGACTATAGTCAGGGTACTCTGTGTCGTCTACCCTTGTGGCTGTGGCCCAAAGTAGCCTGGGTGCCTGCTTGGTTAAGTACTGGAGGCATGCGAACCCTTCTTCAGACAGGTTGGTGAGCAAAGGCTTGCCGTTGACTTCGGCCAGGCAGATGACGAGGTCATCTTCACCTAAGTTTAATAACCCATTTTCGAGTTGATCGAGAGAGAATGTGCAAATCGTCGCCGGACGGCTTATTTTGGCATCGAGGCTACCTTGCAATAACTTTGCCAGTCGTAGCTGTTCACTTGACTGCTCGTTGTCGACAACTAGGACGAGGTGGCCGAGCTTTAATACTGATTCATGTGGGAGTTTGATTTCCTCCGAAGTTGTGGTGACGATAATACTCATTATATGGCACACATCACTCTGGTAGTCACGGATAACCATATCATTCCCCGAGAAACCATTGGCACGCAAGCACTTATCCCACAAATGCTCGGGTACAGCCGCCGAATGAGGTCGCCATTCTTCGCGCGCCACCCACCAGCCCGGGACCAGGCCAGCCATGAAGTTGGTGGCTATGTCGTCTGGGTTAACGACCTCAACCAGCGCCATGTGGCCGCCAGTCTTTAGGGCTCTCCGCACGTTGCGAATGGTAGCCTCGAAGTACGGAGTAGCATGCAACACGCTAGCCGCAACGACCAAGTCATAAGACCCTGGTTCAAACCCCTGTTCATCAATGGCGCGATCTAAGTCCAATGTCTTGAAGGTCATGCGGCCTTGGGCCTGTAGCTCCGGCCACCGACTGCTCGCCTGCTCGAAGAAGACAGGCGAAATGTCCGTGTAGGTGTATTCAGCGAAGCTCAGTGTTCCAGTTCTCTTCTCGCGTTCCTGAAAGATCTCCACCACATGGCCAGTCATCCCGCCCGTGCCAGCGCCGACCTCGAGGATGCGCAGTGCCGGATTTTCGTGCGAGGCGAGGTTCAGAAAGGCAGCAAGCTGACCATCGGCACACATGTTTCGGAAGAGGTCGGCATAGAAGGCTTTAGCAAGATCTGACTGGAACACGACCTGAAGCGGGTCGATCTCTCCGGAGAGAATTTGTGGGAGCTTTCGCGCGCATGCGGTGTACACTTTCCACGCCGGGAGTACTTCTTCAACCTCTTGCAGCCGGGTCTCGATGCCCGCATCGCTGATCGTTTCCCCTTCTTTTCTTTCAGAAGGGGAAAGCTTGCGGACGTGATGTCTCATCCACTCAACATGCCGATGAAGACCCCCTGGCACCTTGGTAGAGCGAATGTGTTCAAGGGTGCGTGATGAGATGAGGTCCAAGACAGAGCACAATTTGGCATGGTTTGTGCGAATAGCAGTCTCATCTCTCGTGAAAGTTCTGTCCGCACGACATGCGCGTGCCAGCTGCTGCGGGGTAAGCAGGCTCAGTTGTGGTTTCCACTCGATACTGTATAGCAACTTTCTGTCTTTTTGTTTCTCCTTTGTATTCCTAGAGACGGGCGTAGTGAAAGCCTGCTGGATCGAACACAGAACTGTGCCGTCGTCGGCTAAAGCATAAAGGCCACCTTTTTCTCCATAGTTCGCTTTATACGCATCGGGCGACCTCGAGGTCGAGGTGGCCCACCATCTTACGGAACCTGTTTTGGGGTGCTGCCAGCCTGAGGACGCAAACCAGGCATTCGAAAGACGGACGGGAACATTGCAAGCCGGTTTCTGGCCGGCGCTAACGCGCAGCAGATGGAAAGCCTGATCAAGAGCAGCTGGATGTACCAGGCCGCTCGTCTGGTACCTCACCTTCGACACGTCTACTTTGGCCACGGCGAGGCCCTTTCCGTCCCAATGCACGTGTTGAAGCAACTGGAACCAATCCCCGTACTGGAGGCCGTGTTCGGCAGCGTCACTGTAAAAAACGCCCGAGTCGACCGGCGTTTGGCATAATTCCGTTGCTCGGCTGTATTTGCTCTGCATGCTGTCGTCGGCCAACCTCCTTTCACCGCTGTCTAGTTGCGAGTCTTGATAATCTACCTGGACAGTGGCACGGAAGCATTCAGTCCACCGACCACGAAAGTAGGAAAATAGTGTCGTTTCGAACCAGCTCGAACCGTCATCCTTTGACTCCAGATGCAACTGCATTTCGATTCGGTCCTCCCAGGCCTTTTGCACGACGATGGGGCTTTTAAAATCGGCCCTTCTGAAAAGGTAGCCTCGAGCGATGCGGTTCGGCGGGATGATTTGCCTTAGAGCTTCGATGGCCATGACGAGCATGCCTGCGGCCGGATAGAGCACGGTGCCGCTGATCTTCTCTAGAGTTTAGCGTTGTCATATCCTGCCTAGTCCTTTTCGGTTTCGCAACAAACTTTACCTTATGGTGTTTGATCCACGGCGCAGATTCGATGCATAAAAAGTTCCTCCAGCGAGGTCTTAGGGGGTTCCAATCCGACACGCGCACACCGAGGGTCTCGCCTTGGATCTTCCCACGTAATCTATAGTCTCGACTAAGACGTGACTCGGCCCAATATTGGCGCGATCTATCGAAGGGATATTCAGGGCAGCCTGCGAGGAGAGCCGGAAATGGCTTGTGTGTCTGTGTCTGATTCACCGCCGAGACGGAAACGGCATACCCCAGACAGAATAACTGTCCCACGAGCTCCATCATGGTTTGGATTGCCGGCCGACGTCGTTGCAGCGCGCTCAAGTAGCGTATCTCCCTCTTGTCTTTGCTAACCTTTTGTATGGTGTCTTGAACTGGACGGCGTAGCGCCGGGCGCGGCCCAATCTCAAGGAGGTCGGTGATGCCAACAAGCTGGAGAGAGGGTGGCTCCTGGGTTATCACCTGAACTGCGCTGGCAAACTGGACAGGAGATACCATGTTCTCGACCCAGTATCGTGCACTTCTCAATTCAGCTGGGTGGACAACCTTGCCCGAAATAGATGAGACCATGGGAATTGAGGCTGTTGCATTGGAGTCTCGGGAGCCAGCACCTTCAAGACTCCCCAAAACAGAGAGATATTCGTTGGCGATGGACTGCATTGAAGGGGAGTGGTATGCAACTCCAGTCTTGAGTTTCTGGGCAAAAGTCCCGTCCTTGTCGGTCTGCTTTTTGATAGCATCGATGGCCGGTTCAGGGCCTGACAGGGTGCAGTTAAGCGGACTATTGATGCAAGCGATGGCGATAATCTTAAGAGTATTTCTACATACGCAGCCGCAATCTCGCCTGACGAGCGTCCCACGACAGCGCTAGGAATGACCCCGAAGCTTTGCAGTAGCGTGAACAATGCGATTTGCAAGGCTGTTGTCAATGGCTGACTGTATTCTGGTTTGTCAATGTTTTCATGTCGGCGCAGCTCATCTATGAGTGGAAGAGGATTAGCTATTTCCTCAACACGCTTGCACCTCCATGTCTTTCACCTTACCCAGCAGTTTCCATTCACAACCTAAACTGCGATAAACATCATCAATATGCTGTAGGGCTGTGGCAAACACAGGATATCGGATAAGATCCAAGCCCATGCCAGCATACTGTGCTCCTTGACCAGTGAATACGAACGCTAACTCTACGTCCGCTGAGCTTCGGATTGGTTTTGTTGGTGAGAGCTCCTCTCCAAGGGGGACCATTTCCTGACCTTTGACAACAGCAAAGGATCTCCAGAGCATCTGGCTCCTCCGGGAGGTCAGGGTAAAACCAAGTTGGTTGAGCTTGTCTGGATTGCTCGACACTTGATTCTTATAGAAATCTTTATAATCCTGGACCATCCGTTTCGCTGCCTTCTCACTTGCTGCTGTCCAGACGAGCAACTTGGGCAGGTCAAGCAAATTGTTTGTGGCTTTGGGGGCGACCCTGTTCCCATTAACCGGATGGTTTATTCCTTTGAACTCAACTGACCGGTTAATAGCATTAGCAGCGACCAGAAAGTCGTCACCTTTTACAGCGCCTACAACGGAAGCGCTGCAGTGGTTCCCAGCAAGACCTCGGTCTTGCAAGTAATGAAACGCATCATCAAGAATGATGTGTGCGTTGGAGCCACCGAATCCAAAGGAGTTCACTGATATTCGGCGCAAGCCTGACTCCGGCCAGACGAGATTCTTGGTTGGGACCTTCAAAAATGATAAAGGAGAAAATGTGCCCCATTAACACATGAGCTCTGTGATTCATCTAGGGGAATACATACCTCGATGCGGTAGAATTCTGCGTCGATAGCTGAATTCATCCTTTCAAAGAGAGCGTTGGGTGGAATTATGCCCTTCTCAAGAATCACTTGGAACGAAATTTACTACTTGTCCATTTCTGAAAGGAAAATGAGGGACTAGGCTTGAGAAACTCACAGATTGATTTGATTAGACTAGCCAGGGCGCTGGCTCCCTCGAGATGTCCGATGTTCGCTTTGATGGAGCCACTGTCGGATCATTAGGCGAAAGGTCCTCGGTCCTCAAATGTCCCCAAATGAGGATCCTAGGTAATGAAGGAATACTATTAAAACGAGTGGACGAGCAGACGCACACGTAAAGTGGTTCCTCAGGTGATCTGTACTCCCGGAAGACTCGGCCTAGAGCCTCCATCTCGATCGGATCACCCACCGGTGTCCCAGTTCCTGTCACTCACATCGTTAGAATAATAACTCTAGAAGATGCCAAGTGTAGTGTTTCTTCACTCGCCATGTGCTTCGACAAAACGTGTCCTCTCAGGGGACAGGTTGGCTTGTTGATAAACGTGGCGGATTAATTCCTCTTGCGCATAGGGACTAGGCTGTGTAAGTGCGGGCGTGTGTCCATCTTGATTCGAGTCCGTCGACCGAATGACCGCACGAATCATGTCACAGTCCCGGATAGCGGCAGATATGGGCTTGAGCACAAGAGCAATGACGCCCTCTCCCCTGGCGTACCCATTCGCGCGATGGTCGAAACTGTAACATACGCTGTCCGGAGACAAAAAGTTCTGGTTGGCCAGCATATGGAAAACCGCTGGGTCAAGAAGCATGTTGGATCCCGTAACAAGAGCCTTTGCGTGATTATGCACATTGTTATTGCAGGTTCAACTTGGTAGATAGATAGCAGCCACTTACGCATGAAGCGTCGCCACTCCGCAGAGTCTTGCAGGCCATATCAACTGCCGACAAGCTACTAGAGCAAGCTGTGTTGATGTGGATGCTAGGCCCATGCAGATCAAAAAACCAGCTAATCCGATTAGGTATGACGCAAGGAACGGTACCACCAGTGACAGCTGTCCTCTCTACATTGTCCGGGTCCATAGCCGTCAATCTCGCATAATCCTCGAGCATAGAAGCTGAGAATACTGCGGTGCGTGTACCTCTGAGATTTTCAATCGGGATTCCAGCTGCCGTATTGGATCAGCGTCGTCCGGTTCGTTCCTAACCAGAGCTTCCTCAGCTAGGCTCGCAAAATCTGGCACTCACCGTTCTCAAACGCCCGATATGACGTCTCCAAAGTCCAACGCTGCATCGGATCCATCGATGCCGCCTCTTTCGTAGTGACGGAAAAAAAGGGGGCATCGAAGCCTCCTAAATCTTCGTTGATAAAATGTCCGCCCTGACTATGAAACTGCTTTTAGATGAGCTGGAGGTCATCAAATCGGGTGCCAAACCTGGGAACCCCCTACCTTGTAGTTCTTATTATTCACGAAAGATCCCGCACTCATCCGGGAGCCTGGCCAGGGAGTCATTAAGTTTCGTCGGCTTTGGAGGACTTCCCACAAACTAGAATCGTCATCAACATCTTGAGGGAGCTTAAACGAATACCCCACGATAGCGATATCGCCAGCCCCATGCAATGCCGCCTCCGCATCGGAGAGTGGTGAGTCGACTTTGATTTGTCTCATGGCGGCTTGTTGTTGCATTTCCACAATAAATATCCAGAACAGTCTTCAGTGTGTTATTCAATGTGTTAATTTGCAATTCTAGTTTGAAGTACCAAGGTAAGGCTTCCGTGTGTCCGCTTTATAAGAGAGCACAAAACCCCGCTTCCAAGACCATTCAACGGTCTCTTCTCAGAACCTTCTTTGCGATCTAGTTAACGTGAAGTGTACTGATCTCCCAGAGCAGCGCAGCAGCACGCTAGTGCGTCTGGGTGGACTTCATTGCCCGCAGGCACCATCGCGGTCAAGCTCATGGCGTTCCGTTGTTGAAGCGGGACGGGATATTCGCCGCCAACATCGGCTTGGCACGGATTCGGGGGCATGAAATATTACTAAACGCCACAGAGTTGCATATTAATGAGCCCACATCATGAGCTCCACAGCATCTGGACGGCTGTGGAAATAGGACAGGGGCGAGGCAAGGGGCCAATCCATAGCGGCATCTTGGCTCATGCAGGAGGGTGAATGGCATCATATCAAAGCCGAGGATCTCCGGAGCAGCCATGATCATTCTTCAGCACGACTTATCCGGATGAGACAGCAATATCTGTTGCGACCCTGGTTGGATCTATCGCTTGGCTGGGCCTTTTCACGTGTAATGTCGAACCCCCAGCCCCGTGCCTTTCTGAGACGGGGAAAGGTTCAATATCTGAGCAGCGTTGGAAAGAAATCGCGAGTAATAGACGAATTGTAATTAAAATACGGAGTTCCATTGTTCATAAGAATCTTTCCTCATATTGTGTTTCACACTGTTTTGGAGGCAGCTAATATAGAGAGAAAGATGCCGGGGAGACTGCAGTGTCTTTTTTACTTTTTCGCTTCGTACTGTAAACCCTTCCCAAGGATCGTCGTCCAGTGATCGGCCCGGTCGGGATGGATATCGGATGCATAAGCCAGGGGCGGGGAACTCGGATGTAACACTTGACCCAGAGACTAGGTCTGAAAAGGAATTCTGGGTGGTTCCCTTGCAAGGGGCCTGCAGATAGATAATAAACTACGACGCAATCCCCACTTATCACCTCATCGTGTGGATCAGGCGTGGCTCGTCCTGAATCCTTCTCAACCAACGTCGAACCGACGCGGTTTGCAACCTTACAACTCACATTTGATGGCGAGTACGAAGTATAACGACCTTGTCCGAACAATCACATTCTGAAGAGTACGTGCTGTCTTGTTCTTCGGCTGATGCAGAAAAGATGTACTGCTTTAAAATGCAGTAGAGTACACAGAAGGAAGAGGTGATTACCTGCAATTACTTGGCACCATTGAACCCTCCCCCCCCCCCCCCCCCCCCCCTTTCTTCCTTTCGAGGCTCCTGATGCCCAACCCCCCAATCTCCAACTCCTCGGCGCACTAAAGTCGTGGCGCGCCCTGGAGAAGGATAGGTAGGCCTGTATTGACAGCGTCCTACAGTCGGCATCTACCTTGCCCACCCACCCCTAGGATCTGTGTACATGTTATTACTCCCACCGTCGCTCACCGACGGTGAGTTCTGCGTGACCGCGATGCGAGTGGTACGGACGATTCCATCAGTGGGCGCGGCGTTCTGGAGATGCTCCGTCGATTCCGACCCCTTTATATCCTTCATAGGTACGCCCTCCTCATCCAACTCGTAATATGCGTCGTTTGTTGTCTTCATCGCCTTGCTATGGTTCGACGGCCCACTTCCATAACGGTTCCAATTGTGGCTCGAATTCGCCTTCGTGGACTTCATGCCCAGTCCTCTCTTAATCTTGCTCATGACACCGGTGTCCTTGAGAATCTTCGGGATGCATGGTACACAGACAATAAAGAATCCGCATGTCATCTCAGCGGAGGCCCAGAAAACTAAAGGGCCCAGGTTGAAGATAGCATCAGTGGCTCTACCATATGCGACCGTCACGGCCAGTCTGAAAGCCGCCGAGACACAGGCACTACGGTATTGCTCAAACGTTAGCGTGATAGACGAACCAGGACCTTGGGGTTCCGCGTCCAGACTTACAGGAAACCCAGGCCAAAAACGACCGAAACACCAAGCCTCTTCCGCCATGACATGTTTAGTTTCCAGATTATACGTTGTGGCAACATGAAAATAGCAATGTCTGACACGAGATGGATGGTGGCCGACGCAACCTGCAGCTTGAATAGGTCCCAAAATTTTCCTGGGACTGTGAAATCGTAGATTCTCTGGTGGGGGATGCACTGGAAATTCAGCGCGACGATAATAGCGATGCCAGCACCGACCTGAACGAAGATGACGGCCATACAACCCCAGAAGAAGAGAGTTTTGGTCTTTGTTCCCGGAGTGACGAATAGTCGGCACCATTCTATTAGAATCGCCGATTTAAGGAACGGAAGAACGAAGGAGTAGCAAACACCGAAGACGAGGATCCACTGCGGACGGTTAGCAGCCGAGCCCCGGGGAATCCCAAGGGGGTAGCAAGACTTACATATGTGGTTGGAATGACGTCCCTGAGGCGGACATCCCACTGATGGACGAAATAGCCCGGCGTGTCGTGTCAATAAAAGCGAAGGTTGCATAGGCGCTCCCCCAAGCGCACCCCTAAGGAAAAGTAAAGTTTATTATCAGCCGCGGCGCATCGATCGATGTTGGAGGAGTTCACGAACGTAAGCAAGTGTGACAAGAACTGGAACAGATGGATAGTTAGCAAAAGTTCGTTTAGCCTTTGGCGTTAAGGGTGAATTGCAAGGCAGGGCCACAGATCAGATTCAAACGTACTCTCTTCCGCCTGGAATTTTCTCAACAGATAGACTCTGCCATAGGCACGGAGAAGGACCGATATTGTAGCAACAGCGCAGCACGTAACGAGCACGCCCCAGGCTAGATCATTTCGGTTCGGGGGATTGCTGAAGTTGGGAGTGATACCCTCTGGGGGAGCGAGGGCAGGCCGTCAAGATCAACCTCCATGATGAGTTATAGCTCAGTGCTCGTCAATATTTCCGAAGCGGGCTGGCGTTCGGTATGCAAACGAAACGAAGCGACTAAACTCTTTTCGGTGTGGGGATTAGCTTCCCCCATTCACCAGAATGTCGGTCAGGAGGACAAAGCAGGCTTTCATGACTTCAGGCCCTCAGAGTTACACAAGTTAACCACCGGTTCGCATCGACTCCTCGCCGGCCCCCTTGTCAGGGGTGTTTTACTTCGTTGAACCAGAGCCTGCTTTGGGCTTCATCTTGGAAAATCTTAGCGAACGATGTATCCGCGTCCCCTGGCTCGAGATGGGCGTACCGGTATCCTCCAATGAGGAATCCTTATTTTTTCAAACAATGGTTGTGAACCAACACAGGGTTGCGATCTTCTGCTCCGGCAACAAGCGAAATAATGCATGAATACGACAGGTCAAAGTCAGAAGTTCCGTATTCTCAAAATTCTACAAGGACTTGGCCGGCTGCAGACCCTTTTGGTTGTTGGCTCCACACTCAGCCAAGGCAGGACCCGGCAGTGTTCCCCGTTCTGTTTTCCTGGGGTGATTTCAGCCAATGTCAATAATCTTCACCTGGCATGACCTAATCCTTGGCTAGCCCAGCTCGTGGGTTTACGAGTGCCTTGAACATCCTCCTGGTTGGATCTTTCCCTTGTGTCAGATACAGGCCCAAGGCCCCGGACATCGATACTGAACTTTCCAAGGGCCCGTAAATTCTTGTATCAAAGTTCCCTTCTCCCCTGTCGATTTTGTCCTTTTTCCAAAGCGGCAAGATATCCTTTGGTAACAGTAACATGATTAAGGATCCTGCAATAGTACCGAAGTAGCACGGCAAATACTACCTCGTCCAAATACCCCTGTACTTGCGTAGGATCTGGCACCATCGAGAAGGACCCAGAGGGGGGCCACTCATTCGTGAAGAAGAAGGACAGCACTGTTCGACTTTTTGTCCAATGGCTCGACTCGGAGCATAATTATCCCACCATTGATGACATTGAAGACTCCAACTTCAGTGCTGTTACGCTTGGTGACTTGAAACTCTGGAGTGTCCATCCGATGACGTACGGCGAGAAACCCGAAGCCGACCCTAATAACAGCCCTGTGGTTTCGGCCTTCAAAGCAAACTTCGTCAAGGGAGGACTGGTTTTCAATATGCACCATCACCACTATGCCGACGATGTTATGGGTTGGGCCGGCTTTACTCACCAGCTGGCTGAGAATTGCCACGCTGTCGGGGGCCAGACTCCCTTTCCCACTTGGAACCCCACATGCCTCGACGTCTCGCGGCTCACAAAGAAGGAGGTGCCTCAGGATGCTCAAGTCGAGGGCCCTCCGTCACCTGAACGCCACCCCGATCATGACGTGGCCGTGTTGCTTCTCTTCCATCTGCCGAAGAGCAAGGCCGCCGAGCTGAAGAGGCTAGCTGCACCCACCGACGGCTCCTGGATCTCAACATATGACGCTTTCTCTGCCTTCATCTGGCGGACACTGTCTCGGCTTCGCGAACCCATCTTCAAGCCTGAACTGTCGTCCAAAATCTTCTGGGCCGAGGCTGTCGATATGCGGAGGCGACTCCACAGCCCAAAGTGTCCAGCACGTACTCGGGGCATCGTTATGTTCGCGGCGCTTTCCCCCACAGCACCAGTACCACAACCGACTCTAGCTGAGGTCATCTCCGGGTGGCCCCTATCCCAGGTGGCATCGTACATCCGGAAGATGACCGACAGTGTCACCCAGGAGAACCTCGACAAGACCCTAGACAGGGTGGCAATGGTTCGCGACAAGACTGCCTTGAATATCCGTATAGACTCGCATCCGCCCATGTCGATCCTCCAAACCGACCATCGTGACGCGAACGTTACTGCCGCAGACTTTGGGTTTGCGAAGCCTATCACTTACCGCCACCTCTTGGATTGTGTGACCGAGGGTGTCATCATCATATATCCCCCGCGCTCCATGGCGCCTGAGTCGGATGAGGGTTGCGAGTTCGCTATCTCGTATGAGAAGAGGCTGGCACAAACGCTGATTGAAGACCCGGAATGGAATGAATACTTTGAATATCGGGGGGTGGACGCCGAACATGCTGGTCACGCAGTCGCGTCCAAGTCCTTATCCAACTAAAGCTGGCTGAGGCAAAGTTATCGTGGCAGTGATGAGTGCGTACTAACCAACCACAACCTGCGCCCTCTGCAGCTCATGGGAGCAGATCTGAAGGGATAAAACTTGATGTATTCCAGTGTAGCCTATAACGATCGGATAATGTCATTTTAGGACGACTTGGGAGCATTTGCATCGCTCAATTCTCTCTGTTCCGTCCGATGCTATGTTATATGATGAGGGAAATCTCAAACCATCAAGTATTCTAGGTCTCGGGCTATTAAGATCCCAATGTCTTCCAATACAGTCTCTCCATCCTCAAGGTTTGAAGAAACCAATCGTCGCCCTTTCGTTTCCAAGTCTCGTGATAGTGGCCCCCACCTGTCCCTTGCGAACCATCCTCAGTTCCCTTCGTACCCGCATGATAAATAACCCCCCAAATTGCCTTGACCTCGTCGGGGCTTGTCTGCTCCAACTCGCCGGGGCCAACAAGGTGAATTGACTGAATTTTCTTGAAGGCCTCGCGGAAATGTGCCGTGAACTCTTCAGCCGACGAGAAGGAGTAATTGACACCTCCCTCATTGATGACAGCGCCGTGTGGATCAACGAATACGAAGGTTGCGTCGGGCAGGAAGATATTGTCAAAGAGATGCCACTGGTTAGTGTCGGCGAACCGGCAGTACTGTAGCTTCTTGCGAGTGATTATGCGCGTAGTTTCTGGAGAAGGATCCATGCTGAATAAGGCCTGTTCTTCTCTGTGTAGAGAGAGTAGGCGGGTTGCGTGAAGCCACGGAGAGCCGGACAATTAATCGTGCGTCGCGACAGGATGTAAGACCTCCCAGAAAGGGATGCCGGGGTGAATAGGTCAAATGAATAGACAAGGAGAAAAACGACGGCTTCTTGACATGCGTTTGAACACCAAATCTCGGAGGACGAGCGCAATCAAACGATACTTCGCGGGCGAGACGGTAAATACAAATAAGTTTTTGTTTTCGGCAACTATCTCACAGTCAAGCAACTTCCTTTTCAACCAAAAGGTCTCGGTGGACGTTTGGTCATACCATTTCCCACGTTGCCTGTCGATTTTGTGCGTGACGCTGTGAGGCACATCCTTGTAGAGACACCGCTTGCTCGTTGGGCATCAATAATTTCCCAGTTGCCAAGAAGATGCAAGCAGTCGGGGTCGGCACAACTGGGAGGTCTCGTATGAGTCGGAAGCCGCCATTCCTTGTCCTCGATATTACTTCGCCTGCAGATATTAAGTAGCATTAAGAATATTGTGCCATTGTGTTCAAGCAAGAGCAAGGGTCTAAGACGTCCACCGCAAATCGAAAAGGGCAGGGATCGGCTCGCCGAACACCCGAGCTTTCGAATGGCAGCCCGCAAGACTGAAAGTTGATAAAGCCAGGAGGAACGCCATGGTCACAAAGCACCTAACTTGGGGCGGTACCCAAAACAGGATGCTAAAGACTACATGTACCGTAACACGAACTCTGGGAGTTCAACCCGGAAGCCGAGCTTTTGTTTATAACCTTATTCTCTCTTCATAGCTATTCGAATTCACCTAAATCCGACAATACACGATCAACGTAAATGAAATATCACAGCTGACGTCAAGCATCAAGGAGTTCGATTAGGAGGCAGTGATGAGTAATGGTATGCCATCCAATGTCGTAACGCTACAGGCATCCAAAAGGCTGTCGTGTCTTAGTCAATAACCTCCACTTGGAGGGAAAAAAAAAAAAAAAAAAAAAAAAAAAAAAAAACTTTATGCCAAATCACCAAATAATGCCTGGCGTAACCGGACCCCCTCACGACCGCCTGTTCTTCTTTCCCCCGCGTGCTGTTCCTTCCTCTAAAACATAGCGTCTAAGTGCTTCCTCTATTCTATTTCCTTATATTACTCATATTCGAGCGCGAGGTCTTTACATTTCTTTCTACAGATCTGGCTCCGGTGATGCAAGTTACGTGTAGAGGAGATGAGGTTGCGTTTTATCATCTGAGGAACCTTTAAACTTGCTCTTGAATGGCTGCGACATAACTCAAGACGTCGTAACAACCGCTCTTCTCCTATGCGATTTATCAAACTTCTTATCGCCTCTCCACTTATATTCTTTCTTCCCTTCTACCCCGCTTTTACAATCAGCCTTCCTCCGTTTCACGACGTTCCCAATAATGCTTGAAGAGACTTATGACTTTACGCTCTGTCATTGCCGATCTGGCCTGTCTTAGCCTAGGGATAAGACTAATTACCTATCTGATCGTCTGCGATGTGTTGAGTGAGAGTCAGGTACTCACCCTAAGCTCCAGCTCCCACTAATTATGCGCTGTTGAAGTGATGAGAGTCCGGCTCTTTGGGGAGAGGGCTGCTATTCGGACGCAGGAGTCGAGGCCTCTAATAATACAATCTTATAGAAGGCGTGAAAACCCTATGGGGCTAAGCCATTTTTATTAGATACGAGACTTTCTCGTCTAATCCAAAACGTCTTCCATCAAAGCTTGCCTGAACGTGAACGCTATTTCACGCCGCTATCTCGATGGCATTCCTTCTCTTTTTCTCGGCCTAGCCTTCGACACGTCCACCTCGTCCACACTGGCACTTGACCCAGACATCGTAATTGAGAATGCCGACTTCATCTGATCAGGTGACATAACTGACTCTCGGAGCTGGACGCTAACGGCCAGATATATTAAAAACGGCTCATGAATGTCTCTCCCCTCGAGATCAAGTTATCAAAGCAAGTTTTCTTCCCCCACCATACCTTGGAATCCCCATGCCACCGCTGCTCAAAATAAGAAAGACTCAACTTTAGTTTTTCGCTCAAGTCACTGCCATCGGGATCAGATGTCATCTTTCAGCAATAATCGTTCTTCTCACGCACTGGGCCCGGTGCCATCCATCCAACCCCCCAAAAACGAAGTCCCTGCAAAGAGCGCAGCTGAAGACCACTATTTCAAGATCAAGTTCAACCACCCCCAGTCTATTTTGGGCCACTTGGCCTATTAGGTGAAATTTGGCAAGGAGCCTGCGGTAACTATCGCTGAAGGACAATGCCTGTGGGCACTACGCTATATTTTCCCCTAATTGCCCTCCCTGAGATTTATGGCCGAACTACTGACGGGGATACTGTGTTCCTTTACTTGGAGCTGAAGCTCGTCCAAGGGGTCACGCTTGAGGAACGATGGGACTCTCTCCCTACGACCGAGCGTGTTGGAATCTGTCAGGAATTGCGTGCCATGCTTGCCGACCTCCGTCGGCTGCGCCAACATCCTAGTGATTATTCTCTTGGTAAGTATAGTAGTCTATCCTAACTATCCATCTTTAATCCATCCGGGTATAGGTCATGTCAATCGTGACCCATATAGCGACGTTGTCTTCACAAACGGGGTGTTACCACTCTTGCGTTTCCCTAATACCTTACACATTCTTGAAGCCCCCGGCGTCGACATCGTGCTTTGTGATCGGTCTCGAGCGGGCGTACTGACAAGTGTCGCAAAATATTCGGAGACGCTGCTGATTCCTTCGCACCGAGGCCAGTGGGATCTGCTCTTTCATGTCGCCCGCGATAATGGGCTCGCCGTCTCCGTCATATCCCGTCCTCCGATCAACGCTTTGCGTCCCAGAATTCCGCGACCGGCTCTCTTTGATGATAAAATGAGGAAAGGAGCCTCATTTCCCGAGTCTTACTCTTGAAGATATCCCTAATACATACCGACGACTACTCCCGGACGACGCTAAATTTGTCTTTGCCCACTCCAATCTCCATGTACTATCGTCTTAACGGAATCCCTTTGCTGTGATTGTTGCCATTATCGATTGGGAACAGTCTAGTTGGTACCTAGATTACTGAGAATTCTCAAAATCTCAGTTTACACTTGAAGCAGGGTCGGAATGGGTCACTAAGTATATTCCGCTGTTTCAGGACCAGTCCGGAGACAGCTGCTTGGCGGGATTTGAGATAGATGCAAAAGCCTACGGGTGTTGACGATGGCCCTTTCACGATTCTAAAAACAAGATCCAAAATCCTCGGAGACCAATCCAGCCACTTCGAAACCCTCCCCTAGACTTACCACGCTAAGGCTTTCTTCAAGGGACAATCGAAGTAGCCGACTCTTCGATGTGATAATGTACTCTCGTACTTCTGAAAGTAAGGATTTAAAGGGAAAATTGGTCACGCCCCACTAGCCGCCTAAGTCGAGAAATCGACAAGCGCTTGGCGGAGGGTGTTTAAAACGGGTGCAGAGACCTCCTAGTCCGAATAGTAAAGATCTCATTCCGAAAAGAGGCTACACCCTTGAGCTACAGTAACGTGTAATAGCTGGGGCGGGCAGCTATGCGTAGTGCTGGGCGCGTCAACCCAACCTAGCAAATCGTACATTCGGTACGCCGGTAGATTTCTGGTATGCGATGCACTTGTGGCCGCTACTTCGAGCTTTGTTGTTCGATGCAAATAGTATCGACCCAGATGGTTCGTTTGAAAAAGTCATCTCGGAGATGTCGACGCACCGCATAACAGTCTGCTCAAAGGAGACTCCCAAGTCCTGTCCCTCTACGGAGATAATACGTTGACGCTCCGGAGTAGCGGATCCGTCGGAGAGGGCGTCATACATATTGCACGATTTCCCAAGACGATAGTTGAAATGCTGGTATTGCATAAGGTCATCCTTGGCTTCTTGCGACCTGGGCCAAACAGGCGGAAGCTCCAGTCTCCAGTCCAGTAATGGGTATGGAGAAGACAAACGTCAAACGCCGATCGGATCGAAAACATCCCCATAATAAAAACATGTTCTGGAGAAGGCGAAGAGTGTACCCGAGAAGATAAAGTCGAAGATCATCTAGAGTGAGGACCTCGACAATGACGATAGCGTGTCGGCGCGTGGTTCTGTAGGTTTCCAAGGAGCCACACAGGAAAGAGCCGCAGAGCCACACATTCAACCTCACTTATATACATATAACAGGAGAATAGGTTCTGGAGGCATGGAAGAAGGACGACCTAGCAGTTTCACATGTAGTGAGAGGGGAGACATCGACTTTAGGTGATCAGTCGTTTTCCTCGGCTTCGAGAGCTGTCTCGCGATAGACATTTCTCTATTCTTCAATACTAATACACTTCTTCTTATTGCTTCAGTTCTGTTTCGTTGTCTGCGACTCTGCGCGATACAGATTCCCCATTGATCACTGAGTTCATAACGTCTCCGCGAAGCTGTTACGACTATTCTACGACCATTGGACCATTTCGACTTATGCTTATTCGACAAGGGCGGGATATGCCCTACGAACTTTGGGTTGTGTTTCCCGGGTCCGGCAAAATAGCGACCTCTCACCATCCCGGTTCAAGCGTCTCTAGATGAATATCTGCTAAGTCGCCTATCGTTTGACGGCGACTGGAAGGGGACCAGTGGATACACTACAAGGAGGACCACCACGACGCCCCAAGCGGCTGATCGAGCTCGTAAGTCACCTCGAAGAGGTGGCGAAGTCCAGGGATGAGAGACGAATTGTCGCAGTGCCAAATCCGCCGTGGGTGCGGTGTCTAGAATTATGTTTGACAATGCTAGATCGGATGCCTTAACTCACATCAGCTCAATAGTAGCACTGCTTAGTGGTGGTTTTCGGCCAAAACCTTCAATGGCTTCCTTCCTGCCCTAGAACAGGATCCGCAACTTCTTGCCCTGAATAAGAGTAATATTCCCCCTGATCGATTCTTCTACCAGCCTAAACAACACCCTGAAGACTGTCATACAAATCTATTATCACTGTTTCAATATTGATCCTGTAAGTCGATACGCCGCCCCGACCTTTCCTTGACTGATCAGGTTTCCTCGTGTGCTTTGCTAAGGTGGCGGAAATGTGGTGTGCGCGGCGTTGGGAACTTCGGTTAAGGGAATGATGGTTTCAATCCCTTCTCGCTTACAAAAGTTGAACATGATCTTCATGTTCTGGTTGCAAACTAGTCGCGGACATACAAATCATTTTGATGCTCCAGTATTCCTATTTCCCATTCTAGGTCCTAGTGCGCGCGGGACCCTGCCGAAACATTCATACCTACCTTTCAAGCATATAAAGACAAGCCTTTATTTAATTCTACCGAGGTAATGCTGTATCTATCTGACCCATACACCCTAAAGCTTGCTTCCCATATTCACATGCACGGCCTTAATCTGTGAATATGCCTCCAGCCCCGCCTCGCCGAGCTCTCTTCCGATACCGCTTTGCTTCACGCCGCCGAATGGCACTCTCGGGTCACTATCTTGACTGCTGTTGATCCATACCATGCCGGCCTCTAGGCGATCCGCCACTCTGTGGGCCCTCTCTAGGTCCCTGGTAAAGACAGCAGATCCAAGGCCGTAGGTGGAATCGTTGGCCAACGCCAAAGCCTCATCTTCCGTCTTGAAGCGACAGATAACCACCACTGGGCCAAAAATTTCTTCACGGAAGACCCTCATGGATGGCTTGACCTCCGTAAAGACCGTCGGGGCGATAAAGAAACCTTTCCCCTTAGGGCCAATACTCAGAGGATGGCCTCCTGTCATGATAGCAGCTCCTTCCTGCTTCCCGACGTCAATATATCGCAAGATCCGTTCATATTGGGCCTTTGATATCTGAGGACCCTGGTAAGTGTCATCATCCCACTGGCTGCCCACTTTACTGACGGTCTTAACAGTGTCGAGATACCGCCTGACGAATTCGTCATAGATGGCGTCATGGACGAATATGCGGGAGGTTGCCGTACAGATCTGGCCCTGATTCGAGAAGATACCCAAATGGGACCACTTTACCGCTTGATCTAACTCTGCGTCATCAAAGACAAGGAGTGGCGACTTGCCCCCTGCCTCGATAGTTACGTTTTTCAGTGACTTCGCTGCTGAGATCCCGATTTGCACAGCCGTCGTTGTGGATCCCGTGAAAGCAATCTTGTCAATCAAAGGATGCCGCACTAATGCGGAACCAGCCTCCGCCCCTAGTCCGTTGATAACGTTCACCACACCGGGTGGGAAGCCGGCTTCCTTGATGAGCCGGGCTAGGACTAAGATGCTCAGTGGGGTCTGCTCGGCGGCCTTGATCACCACCGTGTTCCCACAAGCCAGCGCAGGGCCGAGCTTCCAGGCTGCCATTGCCAGGGGATAGTTCCAAGGGATGATCTGGCCAACCACGCCGATGGGATGGCGGATCGTGTAGGCAAACTTGAGAGGCGTGGTGCTGATAGTTTGCCCAAAGATTTTGTCCGACCAGCCAGCGTAGTAACGGATTGTAGTAACGGCTTCGACTACGTCACCTTCCAGCGCGTCCCTGTACGTTTTGCCTATTGTTGCTATTGTCAGCGAGAGCATTTTGCCTTGATCAGGCCAGTGAGAGAGCTACCGTTGTCCCAGGCTTCGATTGTTGCAAAGAGCTCACCGTTTGCCTCGATCAAGTCAGCAAGGCGCATCATCAGCTGGCCCCGGTCAGTGGCAGAGAGTTGGGACCATGATGGGTGACGGAGAGCAGCGTGAGCAACTTTAACGGCTTTGTCGACGTCGTTGGCATCTGCGGCGTGAACAGTGGTGATGACCTCTTCCGTTCTAATTTATCTATTAGCAGAGGAGCAAGAAGCAGGTCCTTTGGCGCAGATGCTACTTACGCAGGGTCAATAGTACTGATTGAGCTGCCGCTCGATGACGGGACAAATTCATTACCGATGAATAATCCCGTGGGTTGTGTATATCGGCGGCCGTTAGGAGCCTGAAGCTCTACTGAGAGTGCCATAATGATAGTGGTGATCTTAGGCAAGAGGGATTTTCAATGGATCAAGACCTTTCAAGCGTGGGAATAGAGTAAGGGCGATGTGATTTTCTGTGACGAGAGTCCAGGAACTGCAAAGACAACATTAAAGCAGCTGAAGTACTTGGGTGACTTTTTAGTTAGCTAATGGTTTCGGCGTTGGCGTCAGACACGTGCACCTTGGGGCCCGGGTGCACAAGTCTGTTCCGGTATAGTCTGGCTGCTGATCACTGCTTTATTTGACTTCCTCCAGCTTCCTCTCAGTCGCCAAGAAGCGGCTGCGGGGAAGATCACCGGCAGCTGGATCGGCAGAGCGGGCCTGATGCAGGATGGGAATGAATGGTTCCACATTCGATAAGACCACACCAGCGGCGTTGGCCTCGAATTTATCCCTTTTGGGCTTAGTACAAGGCTTGGCCATCTCAATGTGACTGTGCCTTAAAAGTTGCCATTTTGGGATACCCAACCTGGTTTTAGCGGATCTCCTATCTGGAACAACGGTGGATTTGAAGCATTGGATTAGAGGATCATCTTGCGGCGTGACAGGAAAGAAACCGGGAGAGGTTGTAGGTCTCGATAGATAAACGTGCAGCTGATAGCTCCTCGACTAAACTTTACCTCGGCATTTATTGTAGCTTATTGTCGGCTCATTCGGAGGCAAACAATGATCAATTGATCCTTATCTCTGGGGACCGGACCATTCTAGCCATGCAGCTCAGTGGACCCGGTCGTTGGGCAAGGCAGAACGAATCATCTGCAATGACTGCAACGTCCCCCCCCAAAAAAAAAAAAAAAAAAAAGCTGATCTCTCGTGAAGACATGACTGTCAGCTCGTAAATTTGCCTAGGGTGGAATGGCACGTAAATTTAACGTCTTAGATACTAAATAATCACAAAGGTGGGATTCAAGTCTGCATTAACGTCTGAGCATAATTACAAAACCAGCACATTAGGACTAAGAACAGAAAACAGCTCGGCCCAACTCAAATCAATCGAGTTCATGTCCCAAATAGCGCGGACAGCTTGACCAATAGCCCTGACGCACGCGAATCGCATGTTTTCGTAAATGAAATCCATCAGGCCGAGAACCGCCTGCCGATGCGTGAGCAATTGGGCATGAGCGCCAACCACATACAGTGGGAATATGACGCAGTGTAGTGTTTTCGATGGTCGCTCAATGTCGAGAATGCAATCCAAGCAAGATTGGACATGTTGCTGCACTAAGGGATGGGTGAGGGGCAGCCCACAGATCGCTCTGTAAAGGTAAACAAGCGCAGTATGCTGAAATATGCGGATCAAAGAAAAGGCGTGAACTACTTCAACGGTCGTTCCATTAAGACTCCTCATCAAAGTAGTCTCGGATCCGCTATCAGATCCATCATCCGTAATTGGTGTGGTAATTGGTGCGTATATCGGGCGCAAATTCTCCTCGAATGCCCGTATCGCCTCCATACTTAAATTGCAGCAAGAGTTCTTGAGCGAGTCGAGGTAGAACGCCATGGTTGACATCTCACGGAAGACTGTAGCAAGAGAGTAGCGGCCCAATGGGTCTCGTTCCCACCAGACGGCTCCTTGGTCAATAGCCTCCCACACGGTTGGGGAGTACGAAGGAAGAGTTCCTTGAAGTAAGGCTGTTGTCAGGTCGGCCGACACGAACTCGGAGAGGAGCATCTGGAGAGACTGTTGGCTCGTGAGAAGGACGGGTTCGATGCCTCCTAGTTGTTCGAGGATTGCCAGGACGCCTTGATGATGGCTCAGAGTCGACGCAGCATCGTCGTTTAGCTCCATAAAGCCGTCATGGAGGTAAAAGAGAAGCACAGCAAAGAGCAGAACGAGCAAAGGCTCGGTGCTTCCGCCGGAGCAGCAGTCGCCAACTTCTGATCGAATCGCCGCTAAACATTCGAGACGTATAACATTGAATCCGGAGCCTCGGCTCTCCTTTCCATCCTGGAGCACACGGTGAGAGTTGGCAAGCATACATGTTGCCAACAACACGACACGGTGGGTAATGGCAACCGGAAGCGGAGGAGCACATGGCTCCGCTAAGGTCTGGAGGAGAGGCCAAACTCGACCACGGAAATAATCCAACGCACGCTTCTCGGCGATGGAGAGGCCGTCCTGACTGAATCCGGAAACCTGATGAATAATCGGCATCACACGAACACTTGGGCGCGTGCTCCAGCGAATCAAGCGTGTGTTGTAGTCGCATGTGGATCCGTTCCTGAGGCACCGATGGCAGACGGGCCTAGTAAGGTCACACTTGATGCGGCGCTTCTTGCATGGCCAACACGAACCCTCAACAACTCTGACTCTAGTCATCGTTTGAATGTCGTCCCATTCGTCTTGGGTAAACTCCCCCGAATTTTCTCCAGGCGGCAATTGGGAGCAACTAACGCCGACAGCTGCAGGAGTGGATACTTTTCAGTAACTCGACCTGAAATTGAAGCGTGAGGGACTCCAACTCTGCCATATGTGGCCGAGGGGAGCGAGAAGGACGAAAGGCCCCGTTCATTACCATTCACGGGTCCGGGAATTGGTCGAGAGATCTGCTTGACCCGATAATACCTTGACCTAGACAAGACGACCAGCGCTCGACAATTTTGGATGATAGATTGAAGGATGCGTTGATTGTGTGAAGTTGGGAGATGGAGTGATTTCCAGGGAAAGATTGCGGGGAAGGCCTGCAAGCGAGAGAATCGCGGGGAAAGCCAGAAAAGGAGAAAGAACCCTGGCGGCTGTACAAAGGTAGAAGCCTTCGACCGAACCAGGATTTGGCCACAAACGACTATGACTATTATACCCGCACCACCTTGGGCACAAAACTTACCGTATTTGGAATCGGCTACCAAAAACACCAGGTCCTCCCCAATCTTGGCATGCTGCCACTCCGACACCGTCGGAACATTGGCCACGGTCCGACGTCCGAGCATGGGAAGTAACCCATTTCTTCGGTTTCGAATGGTCTCTCTATGAAGCAGGAAAGACTCCGCTGCTGCAGGTCGCCAGGCTAACCAAATATAGAAACTAGAACCACATCTCGCAGTGGTGTGAATCCCATATGAAATAGCAAGATAGCGACTCACCCACTCAGGTGGGGATCACTGGCTGCACTACTTCGTGCACTAAGATTGAACACATCGTGCTAAAATGCGGGGGTTTCCCACACCAACATAGTGTACTAGATTTGTGCCGCAGGTTCCGAGAAAAGGGCAAGAGTTGTTTTCTCGGGTAGACTTACCATAGGTAGTAACTAAAAGGTCCGTACGGAACACTTCACATCCTCATGCAGGGCATTGGGTGCCTCCTACCCACGATGGCCTTGTGGCAGTGGGCCACCGAAAGGGGCGGAATGAAGTAGGATTACACTACTTGGTACGAGATACGCCGGGACACCTCGGTAAAGTTTAAACCTCGCCCCACACAGCCCTGGAACGCGTCACTGATAGAACCCTACGATACCAATTCAGATTAGTGCAAATGTAGCTTTTGGACAGGACAGGGTTAAGCTCCTTTCCCCACAACTCTTCTTTCTTCGATTCCTCTCACCTGCCTAATTAGGGTAAATAATCGTCCAAGATGTCTTCGAAGATAAGAAACGCTGCGCCTGTGTTTATCACACCAACCAGACGCAATTACAAAGCAACTAGGGCTGTTCATATCTTACCACTACTTCGTATATCGCCCGGAAATTACTCACAGGCGCATGGGTGTCCCTGCGGGGAGTCCGCGTGGCCTAGTGGGAATGAAACCTTGTGAACGAGCGAACATGCAACTGAGGGGCAGAGCTTGGTAAAAAGACGTACACTAAAAAGGGGGGATGTCGCAAACGTTTGAAGAGAATTGCTGAGTGCTTAATTAACTACGTTGCAGACCTGTCGATTCTAATTCGGTACTTCGGCATGAACGCCTTAAGTAGTAAGATAAACAAATGACTTCAAAATGAGAAAAAGATAGAACTGGCCGAAACGAATACTATGCTCCAACGAACCCTGTGCCACCTAACTAATCTTGAATGAAAGTCACTTCAAGTCCACCTTCGATCCGGCATCCTGGCCGTTCTTTCCGTCTCCACTCTCGGGAATTCCTTGGATAGTGGCCACTTCAAGGCGCCTCGCATGATTCATGCGCTGTTCCGCGTCGCTAGTCCGCAGATATGTGGCGTGGCCCTTGAAGACCCAGAGGCCCAATGAGACCACTAGCATAACTCCAAATACCGCGATGGCGTAGTTCATGTCCGAGCCAGAAGGTTTGGGTTCAATTGGGAAGAAAAAGAAGACGGTAGTAATGGCGCAGTAGATGACGGAGATCCAGTTGATGAAGGGGCCAAGCCTCCCGAGGCTGAATTCACCACCTGGGGGCAGCTTGTCACGACCGACGAGTAATAGCGTCAATATTGGCATTCCATATGAGACCGTTAAGGCGATGGTCGAGACACCGAGGATGGCCTCGAGAACGGTGCTGGCAAAGGTGTAGAGAACTCCGACTAAGGCAATGATAACACCCTGAATCCACAAGGCGCGTACTGGAGCCTTCCAGAAATTATCCACATGTGAGAAGTAGTTGCTCCACAGCATCCCTCCATCACGAGCCATGCCCCATGTCAGGCGGGAGCCCGTGGTGACGATGCTGACGCCCTGGCCCATACCGTTGAAAATGAACAGTGCAAGCAAGACTGCGCTGCCCTCGAGTCCCATCGCCTGTGCTAGTAGGTCCATGAAGGGAAAACCCGTCGAAGGATTCAAGACGGTCTCGAGGTCCTGAATGCAGAACAGGCAGACTACCATGAAAATAAAACCGGTAATTGCCCCCACGCTCACGGAAAGCCAGAGGGTACGAGGGATGTTCCGGCGAGGTGCCGGCATTTCCTCCGAGAGGTGAACGGCGGCGTCAAACGCAGTCAGACCATAAGCGGCTTGAACGAGACCAAGAAACCAGGTTACACCGTCGCCCCAGCCTGTTTGGTTGATCCATTTTCCAAAGACAAAGGAGGCAGGTTGGTAAGAGAGGTTGTTTCTGACCCCGACCGAGATAATGAGCGCGAGAGAGAAGATGAAGAAGAGGCTGATGAAGCAGAAGCCGACGAAATTGTTGATCCAGGGAAGAATTTCATCTCTCCGACAGGCCACGATGTTGACGCCTGTGACGAAAATAGTGACGGCAAGATACAACAGGAAGTTGATCCATCCCTCAGTCGCTTGGGGCCAGTCAGGTGTGAAAAGAAGCTTCATGCTTAGCATAAATTCGGTCATGAAGGCCAGCTGCGACGCCGAAATAGTCCACCACCCGAATGTATTAACCCAAGCGCACATGTACGAGACGAAACGGCCCGGGTTGCCCGGCCAGAGTCTCGAGATCCAGTACGCCTGGCCCAAGGCCGTAGGCATGCAGCTGCAGAGCTCGCCCAGCGAGAGAGCAACGCACATATTGCAGAAAGTGACGAAGACCAGGCCCCAGAGAATCGTGATAGGGCCGCCGCTGGTCAGGCCGCTGTTCAGCCCCTGCGCAAAAGTGGACCAAGTTCCCAGGATACTGAAGGCGAGGAAGAACATGCTCCAAGGGCTGAACTTTCGCGACATGGCTTGCTCGTGGCCCAGGTCGGCCAGATCTGCCGCATCCTGAGCGACTTGTCCGGCAATTCCCTTGAGAGGTGGTTGTGCTTCATCGTCGCGGTCCATGATAGATGGTCTTAGAAAATAGATGGCAATGGTGGTAGAGTATTGATCAGAATTGGTGTCTTGTAAATGAAGGAAAGGGAATGACACAGATAAAACTACTCGGCGTTGCCTTTGGGGGAAATGTCAATAGATAAATTGATGCTGCCTTGTTCTATTAAATAAAGGATCTTGTCCTATCGCCCGGGCGCTTTGGTCCCTTTATCAGTCGATTCCTACACTCACGATTAAACCTGTTCCCTGTTGCCATCATCTTGACCCTAGCTCCCTCCTTGCCATTGGCGTCTTCGTAAGAAGATTATTCTAGGGAGGGTAACACTTCAATATTGGTGATACGGCTATCGCCTCCTTTTTTCCTTGCTTCTTTTTTTCTTCTTTTTCTTTTTCTGTTGTTTTTTCCCTCTTTTTCCCCAAAAGCTGGGGAACCATGTCATGACGTGACATCAATCACACCCTGTGGCTGATAGAACTTTTGTGCGATAAGAGGACGAATTTGGAAAGATTTTTGACCCTACACCACCGTGTGTCTAGCCATCTCGCGAATCGAGTCCACCGATGCAATCCTTGCCAGGGATCCACATTCATTGACACATAGGGTCACATTGTCTGACAGTTTGGTAATGCCAAGAACTTTCGGAAACAACCGTTTGAGTGTCAAAGCTCTTTTACGTACTCCGCGAAATGTGAAAGCAGCTATCCGGAGGCAGCTGGGTGCGTCGGATAGCGAGGCCATAATCCTCAACAAGATCGTCCAGAGGAGCCACAGTCGTATGATCTAAGGTGGGCCGTTGGTGTCGACTTGTGATGGGAATGGGCTATAAGAAGATGGGTTTCTCTTCGATGAGAACTCGAACCCAATCTAAATCCAGACCAGCAAGTCTTCCCAGCCTACAATTTGATCCGCTCTCTAGCATTTATCACATACTTCTCTCAACCTTTATAGGCATCGTTGCAAAAGCTTCGTATGGCACAGTTGTTTAACACAAACACTCCTCAACATGATCATCGATACCTCGTCCATAGCCGGATACGCTATCTTTCGGGAAGAGCCCACCGACGCCGTTCCAGACCTGTCGAAGAGTCGCTCGACCCATCCTCTCAGTAAGTTTTAAAAACGACCAAAGTATGAAAAGTTCTCATTTAACACGCCTCAAGACCAGCTGTCGATTGAAGAGATTCGTGCTGCTTCCAAGATCATTCGTGAATATGCCGGCTCGAAGCCTCTGAAGTTCAACTGTCTCACGTTGCGTGAGCCTAAGAAGCACGAGTACGTGGCCTTCCGTGATCGCCGCGGTCCTAGGCCTGACCGCCGCGCTTTTGCTATCATCCTCGAGAAGGGCACGCCCAACATCGCCGAGGTCATTGTCAACCTCAACCAGTCTGTTGTTGAGGACTGGAAGGTCGTCCAAGATGTTGGCCCGATCTTGACTCTCGAGGACCTTGACGTTTGCGAGCGCGTCGCCCGCGCAGATCCTCGAGTAATTGAGGCTTGCAGGGAAATTGGCATCACAGACATGAGCAAGGTCTATATAGATGCCTGGGCTATTGGTTTCGACCACCGCTGGGGCACCGAACGACGCCTGCAACAGGGCCTCGTCTACTATCGTAATTCGGAGTCTGACAACCAGTATGCTCACCCACTTGACTTCACCGTCATCCTTGACACGGAGAAGGAAGAGGTCCTTGCGGTTGATATCCGTCGCGTGAATGGAGAGCGCACCGCTCCTTCTTTCGAAGAACACAACTACATGCCGGATTACGTCGGCGACTCGTACGAGGAAAATAGGCTGAAGCCTATTGACATTGTCCAGCCCGAAGGCGTCTCATTCCGTATGCGAGGAAGTGAGCTTCACTGGGCTGGGTTCAAAATGCACATTGGCTTCAACTATCGCGAGGGCATCGTGATCTCCGACGTCCGCCTCGACGACCACCATGGACAGCGTGTCCGCAAACTCTTCAACCGCATCAGTCTCGCGGAAATGGTCGTTCCTTACGGGAACCCGGATCATCCCCACCAGAGGAAGCATGCCCATGATGAGGGAGAATATGGCATGGGGTTAATGACCAACTCTCTGAAGCTCGGATGCGACTGTAAAGGGGCCATCCACTATCTCGACGCCATCATGTGTACGAGCAGCGGCGAGCCGGCCGTTGTACAAAATGCCATCTGCATTCACGAGGAGGATAATGGTAAGAATTGCAGTTCTAATATGTCTAAAATTGGTACTAATCGAGCTCTAGGTCTGGTCTACAAGCACACCGATTACCGTGACGGCACCGTGATCTCCGCCCGAGATCGTAAGCTCATCATTTCGCAGATCATCACGGCTGCCAATTATGACTATGCGTTCTACCATATATTTACTCTTGATGGAACCTACAAGCTCGAGGTTAAGCTTACGGGCATGCTCAATACCTATTGCTTGCATCCCTCGGAAACAGCTGCTCCATACGGCACCGAGGTTGCTCCGGCCATTACTGCCCACAATCATCAGCACATCTTCTCGCTGCGCGTCGACCCGGAGATCGATGGTCCAAACAACTCCATTGTACAGAATGATGCTGTACTCACCGATGCGCCGCTTGGCTCCGCGGAGAATCTTTACGGCAACGGCTTTTACTGCAAGAAGACGCCACTTCGTACTGCCAAGGAGGCTGCCGCCAATTATTGCTACGAGACCAGCCGCAGCTGGGACATCATCAATCCCAGTAGCATCAACCCTTCTACCAAGAAGCCTGTTGCCTACAAGATCCTCAACAACAACTGCCCGACGCTTCTCGCGAAGCCTGGAAGTATGTTAGCGAAACGTGCTGCGTTCGCCCGAAAGAGTCTCTGGGTCGTCCCCTACGAGGACTACCAACTTTTTCCCGCCGGTGACTACGTCTGCCAGTCCACCGGTGAACTCGGCCACCCCTACAACAAGACCATCGCAGATTGGGTGGCGCAGGATGGTTCGGTTGAGAACACCGACATTGTGTGCTACATCCAGTTTGGCCTCACCCATTTCCCGCGCACCGAGGACTTCCCCATCATGCCAGCTGAGCCCGTAAGTGTGATGCTTCGAGCCTCGAACTTCTTTGTCAAGAACCCGGCTCTGTGGGTTCCACCTACCCACATTGCGGTTGACAAGTCATCGGAGAACGCTTTTGCCCAAAAGCAGCAGGTTTGTTGCGGCAAGTCTGATGTTCCTAGCAAGCTTTGAGAAACCGAAGCCGGCCACGGAGAAGATTGTAATAGCGCGGAACGTGCCCATGGTGGAATGGAACTTGCGTTGCCGGTTTCTACTCTGGGGGACTAGAGAAAAGGGCTAGGTAAGACGGGAATACATTGTTCTCTGCCGCTGAGCTGGGAAGTTTCTTTTCGAAGAGTTCAACAGTTCATTAGATCAGCCAATCTTATATTTTTAACGTCCTGTTTTCTTCACGATCTTCCGGCTCCATTATTGAGTCATCAATACAATCCTTTTCATTTAACCATAACATTCGACGTCTCCTCTCTTCATTTATAGAACATTAAAAGCCATCCTCTGTTTTTAAATTGGAGCATTTACCTGAGCAGAGTAAATTGTATAAGTTACCAATGTTGTGAAAAATTGTCAGATGAGGTACGACCTTCGTTGAGCTTTCCGATGTTAATCGGCAGACAGTTTAACCTATATGATACAATTATGTGCGGCTTCGTCGGATTTAGTGCAATCTTATTACAGCTCTTATAGTCGTCACAAACACTTGATACAAACCTCACCAGTGTGTCTAACTTATATGCTCGATACACAAGCTAGACTAAGCGTCAGAAAATTCGATTTACACCTATTAATAGTAAGGTCATAAAGTAGGCCTACTAGAGCCATCGGTGTGCATAACCGCGTCTTAGGTTACCCCAGGACGCGATTTTAAATATAAAGTTTCTTCTATTATAGCAGACACATCTCTTTAGTTATGGCCCTTGATGCAGCATCGATACTTGTCAAGCAGCCACTGCCTTCTACCATAAATAGGAGCTTTGAGTCATGTAAAAAATATCGACGTCAACGCAGGCCGGCATCTCGCCGTTTAGTAAGGTCTGGAGGTTTTGCACGAGGTGTTTTGCTGATGATATACCTCATTAGTGGCGATACCCTAGTAGAGGACATCTGGGGAAAAGATGTTGAGTATGGTGAGCTGTTGTATAGTAGGCGTTGGCTGCGAGGCCTCCGACTCATGTCGGCACCTCTATCTCGGACCTATCCTCTGTCGAAAGCTAGTTGGTTATTTGCGTCCGGGGCTAGGTTCCCTTTCGGCTATAAGAATGGAACTAACAACCGCGGCTCGCGGTACCCAGGTCTAGTTAGCAGTATTCCTACTACAAAGAGGTAAGAGATTTATTAAAAATAGATTATTACTTTAATTTAATATAAATAAGGAAAAGATAACTACTTATTATTATAAAAGCTAATAGCTTTCTTATTTTAGGACGAAATACGCCTAAGAATAGTCTTATCGGATATTACTACTAGCCTTATATTAACTGCTTTTAGATCGATATTAGTTCTAGCTTAATAAAGTATATTATCTAAATTTCTTCTAATCGACATTAATGCCCGGCCTTATTAAGACGCGGCATATAATAGTCGAGTGACTACGTTCGGCGGCGATATAGAGTGCAGTTTGCTAGGCCGGATTCAGTAGATTTCTAGAGATCTGGCCACCTCCAAGAGGGCTTCGGTAATATCTATCTGATCCGATGCCGCTGCTAGGTTTAGCGCTGTCTACGTGTCGCCATCCTGTGCATTTCAATCGGAACCTGATCTCAGCCGTTACTATACTACAAGTTGATATCTACTCCTTCGAGCCCCTACCATTAGATATTCCCAAGCCTTTAAACCCCCACGTTCGTCGTTGGGCTACTTTCGTCAGAGTCGGCGCCGGCGGAATCATCAATCCGCGCATAAGCCGGCGTAACTAGGCACGCTGCTGTTCCCCATGTACAAGCACGTCCTTTGAATAGTAACCGGCAATAACTCACACCCAACAAACTTAAATATAGCTCACAGCACTTATATATTTATTTCTGTTCTTTAATACCTCCATCTTCTAATAAAATCTATTAACATCCCTTCCATTACTCCGCCGGCCTAGGAAAAGGCCTAGGCCAAGTTTACATCTATATAAAGAGAAACATCGCACGACAAGAGCAGCTCCCTCCCTCCTTCCAACAATAGCTCAAATCGACGGTCTGCAGCAGGCACGGTACGCTAGTATTACATAGAATGCACCTTTGTCTGATCGCCATACAACACAGCTACTCGACAAATTAAGTTTATCCACGGCTACGTCTATCATTGATCTCGGATGCGGTTGGGGGGAACTACTTTTACAGGCCGTGGAGCGTGGTAATCCCGACTTGAAGGCGACGGGCGTTGACACGGATGTGGAGGCTCTTGCTCGAGGAAGGCAATCGGCGCAGGAGCGCGGCCTCGACGTTTCCTTTCTAGAGCAGCGAGCTGAATTCTGGCATGGCACAGCTGATCGAGCACTGTGCATCGGTTCGTCACATACTCTCGGAGGTACGCGGGCGATGCTTGACCGACTTGCCACTCTTGTTCCTGCAGGCCGAGTATTGATTGGCGACACTTGTTGGGAACGTCCCCCGCATAAAGCGGCATCTGATATATTCGGCGACGGGGTCCTTCAGCTCTCGGATATAGCGGGATTGTGTCGAGAGGCGGGGTGGAAGGTATTGCATCTCAGTACTGCAAGTCAACAGGAATGGGATGACTTTGAGTCAGGGCACCGTGCTGGGCCTCGTCTGTGGCTCCTCGCGAACTCAAATGACCCTCGAGCAGCTGAAATAAATGCGGAACAAGACCAACGGGAACATGAATATCTTACTATTTATCGAGGTGTTTTAAGCTTCGTATATCTCGTGCTCGCACGATAAGCTACCCCACAGGATCCTAAGATTTAAAGACAGCGCGTCCTTAGGTTTACCAAATCGTCTAGCTTAATAGGATCTACCGATTCCTTTACTTTGCGTCGCTGAAGTTGCTGGGCTTGTCTGTAAATCAAACTGTTTAACTTTACTATAGCTTCGCCCCAGTCCCTCACCTCACAAGCCGCTGCGCAGAGTTTGTTATAGAAACCTAGTCCTCTGTGCGCTTACTAGTAGTGTTGAACCTTGTCTTCGCCCTAGATACAGCTCACAGTCTTCAGACGCAGGGGCCTTTTATATCCTTTACCCCAGTCTCTTATCTCCTAGATACTCTGGCCCTTGACTGGTATTTCCGCCAGCGAAGAGACTCTTAGCTCTCTAGTCTCGCCAACGGCAGACTCGCCATCTGCCCTCGCCTCTCCGTACTCCTTCTGGGACACCTCGAAATCGTCGGCTGCAGTGCGGATCCCGAGTCCTGCGGGCGCTAAAGTATCGCGAGCCTTCCTCCTAGCCAGGGCCCTCTTAACTGCTCGCACCTCCTGACTGCGCTGCTGGCGAGAATTCTCATTTCGCACTGCCTTGAAAATGTCTGCAGCTGTCCGAAGACCTAGGCCCTCTACTACCCCTCCTTCGCGCGGCCTCTAACATTTCCGCTGATGGGCGGATGCCTAGATCCACGAGTATTGCCATGTTCGACCGATTGCGCGCCTCGTCCAGGCTGGCGACACCTGCTAGAGACCCCACGGCTACCCGTGGGGCTGGGGCTACCTTGCCGCTCTCTGTCGTCTGAAAACCCTAGAATAAGTCTCCTGGCCTCGCGGGCTAGTTACTTCCCTGTCCAACCTGCTACTGCCTTAACTGCCTCTTAGCACTACCTAATGGCACTACCCTAGTCTTCTGGTTTCGTTTCCAGTAAGAAGTCTTATTACGCCTCTCCTGCTCCCTCTGCAATGCCTTAAATATATCAGTCTATATCTAAATGCCTAGACCTACTAGCGCCGAAGCGTTAGCTGTTCCCCTATATATTAGGTTCCTCTTTTTCTTTACTTCTTTATCCTATCTCTATATAGCCTCAAAGATGTCTACTGACGTGCGGATTTCTAAACCAGCAAGCGCCACGTTCTCGCGATTCCGCGCGTCCAGCCGACAGAATAGCTCAGGTAGCCCCTCTTCCTCTATAGAGACTCGGTTCTATTTACTATCTCTATATTTATATAGCGCCGCATAAGCGCGATGCAGGGCCTCAGAGAAATAGTCCTGCTACCTTAGCTGTCGCCTCTCTCTACTACTATCTCTCTATACTTAAGCTTAGCTCTTATCCCTAGCTATTTATCCCCTAAAGCCTTACTCTCTTAATTAAAAATCTACCTATTCTACCTCAAGTCTATTTATTCTAGCTCGAATTATAATAGCTCTATAATAGCCTAATCTAGTTAAGGCTTAATACCCTATCTACTTAACCTTCTCTATTATAGACAATTAGTAAGAATACTAAATACTATCTTTATTCTTATTTTAAAATAGAGAACAAGCTCTTTATATACTTCTAGCTTTAATTATAAAAACTAAGTTTACTAATAATATTACTAGTTTCTTTATTTATTTTATCTAATATAATATTTATTATATACTATAGTTACTTATATATAGCTATAGGATAAAGATTAGTAATCTCTCTCTTATATAAACTAGTAATATAATTTATAATATATAGCCCCTTTTTATACTATTCTTTTAAACTTTAATATATCTTAGCTATTATAACTATATTTAGCCTAGATAGAAGGCTGGGTAGTTAAAGCTAGTAGAAAAAAAAATAAATTATAGAAGTATACTAGGTTATAAGAATACTAGATTATTTATACTTATAGTAATCTAGAAGTAATTTAAATTATATAAGATTATAGTAAGCTAAAATAATCTAGGGAGAGTTTAAAAAGGAAATGTCTATATAAACTATAAGTTCTATTATATATTTAGTTTATTTTTTAAGATTTTCTAATAGTTAATTTAAATATAACTATATCCTTATATTTAAATATATACTTTTTACCTATATTTTATAAATATTATTTAATTACTTTACTTTACTATTAATAAATAACTATTTTAATTTTATTACTAATTATATTTATTTAATATTATTAATAAGCTAATATTAAAATTATAATATATTAACTATTTTTATTTAGTAAATAATTTTATTAAGTAATATTAATATCTAGAAATTATAGTATTTATAAAGGAAAAGACTTCTTTTAAATTAGATAATAAAGTTAAGATATATAAAAT